GTAATTCCTAAATAAATTTAGTCCTACAGAATGTATTACAGAATATCTCACGTTACATATAATATACTGTATTTTGCCATGTGTCATGCACACTTTTTGCCCAAAACTTTGAGGGAAAAATAAGGGTACGCATTATATACATGGGTAGTCCTAATTCCGTATCTATATAAATGTTTTTAATTCATTTATTTATGCTCATGTGTTAAAAGTGTAATCCCAGAAAGCGATCACGGTATCCATATGCAGAATAATACCCCGGAATATGACAACTGGTTTTTAGATATAAATAATTGAATTTTAAAAATTGTAATGAAACTTTTTCTTCCTGAATGTTTGGGTCACGACGGGGGTGCATATTATACACAGCAAAATACGGTAGTTTAGAAAGGAATAGGAAGAGGCGGTCTCCAGTGTCATTTAAGGAGTGGTCAGGGTAAGTCTGTCTCAGTGACAAAGTGATGCTTCAGCAAAGGCTTGAAGGAGTGGAAGGCACTGGCTCCACGTGACTTTTTTCCTTCCTTTTTTGCCTCCAAGAAGATCAGAACCAAATCTGGAGCTCAGTCCTCTAGAGGCCCCTGTGGTCTGCAAATCTGTGGTCTTTTGTCTGTTGAAGAGGCTGGACAAGACAGTGGTTAAGGCCATGGCTTCCAAAATCCAGCTGGACTCAAACCCTGGCTCTATCATTTACTACTTACATGACGCTGGGCGTCCTATTAACCTCACCAAGTCCCAGTTCCCCACACCTCAAAATGAAGACAACAGCCCCTTCCTTACAGGGCTCTTTTAAGGATTAAATGAAAGAATGTACACAAATTCCTTCGCACACAAGAACTCAGTAAAAATCAGCTGTGATTATTAAGCTTTGGTCTTGTCTCTCAAAGTTTATGTACAGTTTCCTTGGTCCTCATTCTCTATCCTTATTGATATTTTAACATTGTTTTATGGTCCCTGCTCTTGTGGTAAGCTACCTCAAACCCTCTGTGGATTGGGGTGGGTTATAAATGAGTATATAAATAAATAAAAATCTAGAGGAGCATTTTCACTGAAGCAAAACATTTCATTACAACACGCTGAATTGCAAGGGGGGTCAAAAGCAAAAGATACTGACTCTAATCCCTCACCGTCCATCAACACCCACCAGCAAGACACGCTGGCTACCAGACCAGCTTGCTCTTCCCCAAACCCCTCTCTCTCCCTCCATCTGTAGAGGGTAAAGGAGACACACAAAATCACCCAATAAGCCCAAATCCTCCCAACCTCAGGCCCACTTCATCGCCAGGGGTTTCAGAGAGCTCTCCGTCCCCCTCGGAGAAGAGAAAGGAACTCGATGGGGCTGCTTTCCATGGTGACGGGGTTCAGGAACCAGGTGCTGCCTTGGTGCACAGTCAGGTTAGAATCTCATTAAGGCCATTAATTAGTGAACGACGTGGCCACAGGGAAGGCCCAGGCCCCAGTTTCCTTGTCAGTAGAAACAGTACTGCCCCCTAAGGTGTTGGTGCCGATGAAAGAACAGGATGGAGGAAAGCAACATGGAGAGTTTGTTGGTCAAGTTCTCCATCCATGTGCAGGCAATGCCCTTCCTCACCTGCACCCCAGGGCAACACTCAGTGGACTATGGGAATAGGAAACTCTCCAATGAGAGGGTGTGGGGGGCAGACACCTGAGAAGACGAGCTCTGGTACAGCCCTAAGTGACAGAAACTCCCTACAGGACCTAACGGGGAAAGGCCATTTCTGAGCAACTCCTACCTGCTAGGTATCTCATCACGCTTCTTCCTCACCATAACCCTTCCAGATGGGCCTCGTAACCCACAGCTGACAGCTGCAGCTGGGCTTGAACCCAGAGCACACATTCCCAGAGGAATGTCTGAGAGGCAGCTCTGGCCCTCTGACACTGACTTCATGGAGGGCAAGGACCAGCTTCCGGGACAGGACACCACAAGCACAACTGACAGAAACCTGGGAGCTCCAGGCCCTGCTGGAGCACCGTGCTTCTGCGAGTCCAGAGCTGAGCGCAGCAAGAACGTAGGCCTCCCTGCGGCTCCCCTCACCTCGCTGCGGCTCCCCTCACCTCCACCAGCCCACAGGGCCTCCCCTGGGAAGGCGTTCCTGCTCCCTAAGTTTTGAAATTAGCTACATCTGAATTTGAAACACACCCCCTCACATATCAATAGGAGGACCTTAGGTAAATCACTTATTCTTTTTTGTTCCCCTTCTGAAAATGGGGATATCGTAATCAAATGCCTACCCCCCCAAAGTTGCCATGAAGATTAAATAAAGCGGTACACTGAACACACACCAGACACTGCCGGGCACACAGTCAGCACACATTTATGGTAGCTGCTATCATTACACAGACACTGTCTGGGGAAAATCAGCCTTATGCTGGCTGAACTGTGACTGAGCAAAAAAATAAAATAAGGAGGTTTGGCTGCTTGTTGCCACAAAAGCCAAACTCATGAGGCGGATGCTGGTGCAAAAGGAAAGAAGTTTCATTCAGGTGCTGTGCCATCTGGGAGAACGGCAGACTCCTGCCTCAAAGCCCATCTCCTTAGCAAGACCAAGACAAAAGCCAGTGTCCAGAGCTCCTGCTCCAATCTAATACGCAGTCCTTTGGAGCCCACAGGCAGCTGCTAAGCGGCCACAGGCCCCACCCAGGTAGCCTGGCTTATCCCTGGCCGCTGTTCATTTCAGGCTCCCCGCTGGAGCCTGCCTGCGGAGCTTGCATGCGCCATGCAGCTGCCAGGGCCACACAGTCACATGCTCCCAGGTGAGAGAGCATGCAGACACACTGACCTGTGCGTCACCAGGTGGATGAGAGAGAAAGAGACTCCTTCCTGGAGGCCATGGGCCACATCGCCTCTTAGGCCACGTAGCCATGAAGAAAACTGCTGAGTACATGGCGGAAGTCCAGGTCGAGAGCAAGAGTGAGCAAGCTAGTGAGAGAGAGAGAGAGAGCATGCTTGCTTATTTCCCTGGGATTATTATTAGCTTGGGTGTGGGACAAACCTGGTCACTTTCTCAAAATGACCAATTTCTCCAACTTTTGCGTGCTTCAGGTGGGTCCACCTCTCAACCAATCCCTTCTTTTCCTAGGCTAGACTCACAGCCTCATTGGTCCACTACCTCCCCTTGTGCCATTTTGACTTCTCTGGCATATATACCTGCCTTCCCCTGGTCCCACCCCCAGTATGGTACCAGAAAGTGGCGGAGAGGGGGAGCTTTTTTCCTAATCCAATTTCCTTGCTAGCTTTTCACCCTTGGGCCATATCCATTGATATTTCTAGCTTTCCGTACTCAGTGTAAGAACCTCCCCCTGCTGCCATCTTGGCCAATGAGGAAAACTCTCTTGAGCTCCAGACAGACTGTCTACCCTTAACAGAATGACAGAGATGATGCTTTCCAGGGGGAAGTGTGTCCCTGAGCACCAACTGACCACTCTGCCCACATATCCACACAGGCGGAGCATCGTGGCCTGGCCGTCTGACATCTGACCCCTGCCCATGCCCCACAGGAAACTAGCCAGAATAACAAGATTTAGCTGAGCTCTGTGCCCCTCCTAGAACAAAAGACTAACCCATGCCCAGGCCAGGGCCTCCCATTCACTGCCTCTGATCCATAAACATGTACTGCTGGTCTCTTCTGTGCAGGAACTGGAGACAGAGAGAAGACCCAGCCCTATCCTAGGAGTTCATAGTACATTCCCGGGGGGTAGGAGGGGCGGCGGGGCGGGAGGCGAGGAACTGCCATTACAGCAAAAGGAATGAGAGCCAAGTGTCCCTGGAGGAAGGCTCCCTGGAGGAGGAGATATTTGAACTGGACCTTAAACTTAGGTAAGGCATGGGGCCAGGGGGTGGAGAATGGGGGGAAGGTACTCCAGACTGAAAGCACAGCATGAACAGAGCTAGATATGTGGGATTTGTGTAGAGAACAGAAGCCTGGTAAGTCAAGAGGGCTGCGAAGCTGGAGGGCTGAGGAGAGAGCTGGCAGCCAAGGGCGTGGGCCCGGGGATCAGGAAGCACAAGATAAAGTTCCTGACTACCATGGAAAAAATCAGAGATGGGGATGGGCCTGCAACTTAAAATGGGATGATCAGAGAAAGCCTCTTCGAAGTGACAGGTTAAGAGGTTAAGAAGCAAGTCATGTGACTCCCTGGGGGAAGTTTTCAGGCAGAGAAAATAGCAGTGCAAAGGTCCTGAGGCCACAGGGATGTGCCATGTTGGTAATGCATTAAAAAGGCTTGTGGGACTGGGGTGGTAAGAAGATTAGAAAGTTAAAAGGGAGCTAGCTCATGAGAGGCCTTAAAGGCCTTTATAGAGGTTTTCGGCTTTCACTTGGCTGAAATGGAGAGCACTACAGAATTTCTAGCACCGTTTTCTGACTTACGTTTTTAAAAGCCGGCTCTGACTGCTGTGTAGAGGATCAACTGCAAGGAGCCAAGGGCGGAAGCTGGGAGACTGGGTAGGAAGCTGTGCGAACAACCCGGCAAAAGAGGATGGTGGCTGGAGGTTTCCTCGTGTTAAAAATGGAGCTCCGGATCCCTGCACTGTGTGCAGCCCAACGCTTCAAATTAAAAAAAAAAAAAAAAAAACATTGGAATCTCGGGCAGACGGCGTGTCAGCCTGGGAAGTGTAGGACTATACTCAGCCCTTTGTGAGTCTGGCCCCTGGTGCCCAGGAAAAAGCCAAGACAGGTGCGCGCCCCGCAACGCAACGCGTCAAAAGAGGGCAGAACTGGCTGAGGGCTGTCTTGCTCCCCAGAGACTGAAGAGAGAGAGAAGGGTGAAAGGGAAGGCGTCCCCTCCCAGCCCTGGAGGGGGTCCTGGGCACACGGCACTGTGTGCACCCCGGTATGCAACCTCTAAGCCTGTACAGGAAAATCTTGTAAGCATCCCGTGGGGAGCGCCACTCACCCCCTCCGTGCAAACCTACCCCCTGACCCCATAGCCCTTTGTTCCACTGTTCCCCTACTCCTATCTGTCTGCCTGTCCGTCCCCCACAGGTTTCGGTGCGCCCAGATCAGTCGTGTTCCCTCTGGCGGTAGCCCTAGCGGCGTAGCCCCAGCCCAGGGCTCTGGAGAGGAGAAAATCATGAATGAAATGGATGCGGTGCTCGCGCTCCCCCGCCCTCTCTGTCCAGGCAACCTCAGCGCGGGGGCGGTGCCTGCGAGGACTCCGAGAGCCGAATCCCGGAGAGGGGGCTCCCGAGATCTGGGTCAGGAATTAAGGGTCTGAGACCCGGCCCCACTCAGGCCCTGGGCGCCAATGGAGCGCCCCGCCTGCCAGCCCCGCTAGCCCTGCGTAATTCCTGGGAGCGCCGCAAGCCCGCCCGGAGGCGGGGCGGAGCCGGGGCTGGGCAGGGGGTGCCGAACCCACCCGGCGGCTGCGCCTGCGACTCCGCAGCTGAGGTGCATTTGGTGCGGCGGACTGGCGAAGGAGTGCGCCCTGAGCAAGGGACAGAGCGTCGGGCGGACAGACCGACGGACGGACGCCCCCGCACACGCAGACGCACAGAGCTCGGCGCGGCCCCCGTCACACACATACACACTCGCGCAGACACTTACAGGGACACACGCAGATACACGCGCACTCGCGCGCGCACATCCTCCCGCCAGCCAGCCTGCCCGCTCGCTCGCCGGCGCCCGGAGCTCGCTCTGGCCGGTAAGTGTGCGGTTTCCGTCGGCTCCTTTGTGTGGGGAGCCGGAAGGCGGAGGGGGTCTTTCCCGGGGCGGCCTTGCAAACGAGACTTCCTTTAGCCCCCAGGGCGGCAAAGCCGGCGCCCGCCCCCGCCACGCCCCCATGGGGCTCCCGGCGCCCCCCGACTGGGGGAGGGGGGAGGGGTCCCCACCCAAGGGGGAGGCCGGGCGCTGGGGAGCCGGCTAGGAGCAGCAACCACTCCCCACGGAACTCGAACGCGGTTTCGGGGAGGCATCCGTATAGTGGTCCGGGGTCCGAGCCTCTGCGGCCGAGGCTGGCGCGCGGCTGTTGGCCGCATCGCCTCTCCAGGGTCTGCAGCTCCAGGGGGAGACTGGAAAACGCCGCTAGCCTGTTGGCTTGTAAACTGCGGCTCCAGACTCCCAGCCTTCCCCTCGCTTCGCCACCCCCGGACCGAGTAGCTTAAACCGCCCGCTTCCCACCACCACCGAAATAAAAGCCCAGTGCGTTCCCCTCCCCCAACATGCCCCTTTTTCCTAGATGAGGCCCAAGCTCCCGCAAATCCTGCAGATTGCCTGGGTCAGAGCCCTGAGCTACCTCACCAAAGATCATGTTGGCTTAGAGGGCCAAGATCAGAAGAACCTTTGGAACTCACTTAACCCCTCCTATTACAGATGGGGAAACTGAGGCCCAGTGAGATGATTTGAGCAAGGTCACAGGAGAGTTAGTGGCAAAGCCTGCATTAGAATCTAGGGTCCCCAGCTTTCAAACTCATTACCCCCTGTACAATTTGATCCTATTCCCACTGAAGCCTCAGAACCCCAAAATTCATCTAAGTGTACCAGGAAAGTCTCTGTAATTTCTGCCCCGCCCCTACTTGGAGCTTCAAGTACCATTCATTTGTTACCATCCTTACTGTAAAAAAAAAAAAAAAAAAAAAAAAGGTTAGCCGTTCACTTGCCTCACTGGGCCTGAGAGGAGTGCTGTCTTATGCAAGCACTCCAGGTGTGGGCTTTAGTTTGGGAGAATGAATCAGTCCTGGACGGGAGGTCAGACACCAGGATGTTCCTCCTGGTTCTCCCGGGAGTCTCTCAGCCTGTGTCCTCAGTTGGACCAGGTGATGCAGCATCTGAGGAGTCATCCCCTCCCCCGACCTGGACCTGACTGCATGCCTTCCCAGTCCCGCTTCCCGCCTCTGTAAAGGCCTTGGCCTTCAATCCAACCAGGACCCTTTGGTCACCCCTTTGTGGAGGGAGGTCCTTGGGTCCCTCACATCTGCTGCATGTGGCTGACAAAGCTGCTGGGGAAGCCTGAGTTGCAGCCCCACCCAGGTCCTGATGGTAGCTCAGGGCAAGGCTCTGTCAAGTCAAGGGCAGCTGGGTGTCCCCGGACCTGGCCCAGAGAGGGTGCCTGGGAGACCAGGTGAAGGGGTGCAAGCTGGATGATGACTGGATTCAGTCACCTTTGAGGGGACTCCATGGGATGGCAAGGAGGACAATGTTCGTTCTCTAGGGACCTGAGGCTCTTGTCTCAAGAGCTTCCTTCTTGAGTGGGATGAGCAGCCTGGATGCATGGGTCAAAGCCAGGGTGACTAGGCGGTGTAACCGCAGGTCCCCCCACTTACACTGTGGCCCACCCGTGTGGCACTGTGCTCCAGAAGCACCATTTGCATAAACTTCGTGAGTGGGGGCCCGTGGGTGTTTGCAGTGCAGCAGCTCCCAGCCTAAGAGTGAAGGGACCTGGGTTCTGGGCCGGGCCCTCCCCACTGGTTGGACACTTTCGGTAAATGCTCGTGACCTCTCTGGGTCTCAGTCCCTCCACCCAAAAAAGTAAGATCATTGGATTGAAGAGTTTCAGGATGTCCTTCAAGTCTGAACTGTTGGGGGATCGGGGAGCACTTATTTATATAACTGTCATGGGCCTGATTTCCTTCTCCTACTCTGTGAAGGAATAAAATGAGATTAGGTAATTTATGTAGGGTGCTTAGCACAATGCCTAGGGCATAGAAAAAGGTCCGGAATTGGTAGCGTTAAGGCCCCAGTTTTATGGCTGTAGCCTCCACTTCCTCCCTTTTTCAGATTGCCCAAGGACATGAGATTTTAGGGCCTCAGAGTCCCTCTTCCTGGAAATCCCTCCCCCACTGAGGTGTTCCTGGATGTCACATGTCATTCATGTCAGCCCGCACATGTCATTCATGCAGCCTCCCTGGGAGACGTGGCACTTTTGTGTACCAGGTATTTCACACCTAAGTGTGATCCAATTTATTACTTTCTAACACTCTGTCAGTTAACCCTCATCACACACAGCAGATCAGTTGTATCACTGTTGGCATTTTATAGATGGGGAAGTTGAGGCTGGGTGTCATTTACCGGAAGGGGCATCCTGTAAAAGTCTCAGAGCCAGAGAGCTGTGCCCCCTGCTCAGAGCACCTGACTCCAGATTCTGAACTCTTTCTTCTCTGTCACGTTGCCTGTCCTCTTCCAAGACCTGCCCTGAAAGAGAGATTGATAGCCCCTTAGAAAGAGTTGAGAAGAAGGAGAGGTTTTATTCTTCTGGAAAATCAGGAATGGCTTCTTGGAGAAGCCAGGTAGCGTTCGAGCTGGGTCTGAATGATTCGTACCCCAGAAGAAAGGAGGGGAAGCATCGCAAGTAGCAGAAACAGCATGAGCAGAGACTAGGCAGTGGGGCTTCTGGGGCCAGGGGTAGAAACTGGAAAGCAGTTTGTTCCGACGGGTGCGCAAAGGGAGGCTGGGTAGGAGGGTGGAGACGGTTGCCAGAGGGCACTGGGGGCTGAGGTAAGGGATCGGGCTTTGGTTTTGGAGAATGGGAGAGACATGCTCAAACCTGGCCATTAGGAAACTCACTCTGAGTGCCCCCCCCCCCTTGCAGTGGAAACAGATTGGTGGGAGAGAACCTGCTCGCGGGAAGCTCAGGTAGGAAGCAACGGCAGTGGTCTGGGTGAGAGGCAAAGAGGGTCTGGACGGTTATAGGAATGGCGAGAAAAAGGAGTTGATGCGGGAGGCTAAGTGTCACCAAAAACCGGCAGCTAATTGGATGTGTGTGCTGGAGGCAAGAAGGAATGAGAAGTGATGACAAGGTTTTGATCCCGCGTGGCTAAGGAGGCCATTCACAGAAAGAGCCCAATGGGGAAGCGTCGAGAGGCTTAGGAGGGGAGGACACGGAGCCGACAGGGAACCGTAAAAACTGCTGCAAAGCTGGCTCACCGAGCACCCCAGACTGTTAAGGGCTGGTTCGTTCATTCATTCTTTCATTCTCCAAATGCATATAAACATCTGTTACATGCCAGGTTGTTCTAGACTCTAGGGACACATTGCTGAAAAAGATGAACTTCCTGCGCAAGCTCTACCAAGGTAGACAGAAAATAAAATATAAGCAAAGGTAGAGCGTTTCAAGGGAGTGAGCAGTGCTGGAGAGGAAAATTAAGCAGGGTCGGGAGTGACTGGAGGACAAGAGTGGGCGAAGGGATTTGCCTTTAAATAGAACTGTCTTTAAGGAGGAGATATTTGGACAAAGACCTGAATGAAGTGAGGAGAAGACTGCAGAGAATAAAAGCATTCTAGGAAGAGAAGACCACAAAAGTGGTCATTACCACCCTCCTCCAGTGGGCAGTCGTCATTACCTCCATGTCCCAGAGGAAGACACTGAGTCTCCGAGAGGCTCGGACACCCGCCTGAGGCCCTGGGGCGAGAAGGTGGCAGAACTTAGCTTTCAGCCGGTTCTCTCTGCTTCCAGATCCACCCTTTTTCCAGAGGACCACAGTTGCTTTAAGGTGTGTGACCTCAAACTTGCCAGCCTGTGGTGTTTTCAGGGATTCTACCCTTGACTGAGGACCTCTGGGGACAGCCCACCCTGGGCCCTAGGTTTCCAACCGTCCGCTGGCACACAGCAGTGAGAGAGTCCATCCTTCTAGGCCCAGGACCAGACTCTACCCCGTCTCCTCCCTTGGGCACCCTAGCAGGACCAGAGTGACCACTTACCCCCCTCACGCCAGCCCTTAGCCCTTCCGAGTGCCCGTTAGCTCCTGTACAGAGTGGAGTGATGCCATCTTCCTCACAAGGTTGCCACAAGTGCCTGAGGAAGTAAGGGACTGGAAAGTACATGCAGTCACAGTTGATTCTCTCTGAATTCAAACCCTTTTCAGCCTTGACTCCTGCTCCCACCTGTTTTTTTTTTTTTCTTTCCCATTTTATTTGACTTGCTAGATCACATTCTTCTCTCTCCTGGCAAAGGCGCCTCTGCCAGGCCCTGCTTCTGAATTGGTTTGCCTGACTCTTCCACCATATGCTAAAGGGTCAGGGTCTTCCCAGCTGGCACTGCCACCGCTCAGCTGGGCCTGAGCAAAGAAGGGTTAAATCAGAGGCTGAGGCAGGTGCCCTGACAGTGCACTAGCCCCCTCCCTCAGTGGGGTGTGGCAGGAACTAGGGCCCCCCACCCCACCCCCCCTAAGCTGCATGTGGGAGCAAACCAAGCTCCGAACTCCTGCTTTCCCCTCTGTGGGTGGTACAAGCTCCTGAAGAAGTGGCTTTTTAAGCAGCGAAACTCAGAGCAGACATCCAAAGGGATCACTCTGGAGGATCCAGAGCAAGGCACAGGTGGCCCAGGCAGGCCAGGCCAAGGCTCGGCATCAGGGACATCTCGAAGTGAAACCAGAGGCAGGCAGAGACCCAAGCACAAAATCATTTGTGATCAGGGTGGGTGTGTAGCCAGCACAGGCTTGGTTGGAATTTTAGTTCCAGGTGGAGCGGGGAGAACTGTGAGAGTGGACAGGCCTCTGTCCTAGAAGGCTGATGACCACAACAGAGACAGTGCCTGCCAGGGTATAAGGCAGAAAGCCAGGTGCTGGGACCAGGCAGGTATCAGAGCCAGACAAGCAACGGTGAGGCTCGGGGTTGTTCAAACTCTTAGCAACAATAATACTGGCTGACACAGGGTACAGTGTGCAAGGTATTCTTCTAAGAGCGCCATGTTGGCTCATCACAACAATA